GCTCAAAGGGGCGTGGTTATGTGACTGTGGAGTCAGGGGCACTTCGTGTCACCCTCCTTAGCCCGGTAATGTCGAGGGTGGTACGTAGCAGCGTGATGAAGGCCTTCTGGTGAGGACTCATGTGTCTAGATTCTCCGAGCCGAATCGCACTGAAGCGTTGCGGTTTTGTTCGCCGTGGGTTCACTTGAGGTCACGGAGATAGAACAGGTCTCTTTGCGGGCCGAGTGTGTGAGAATCGCAGCCTGGCACCCGTTCGTGTGTCTTGCTCAATTCTCTTTGGGGTAAAGTAAGATGAGCGGCTGTTCACGATTTGTTATGGACAGAAGCTTCCTCGTACCATGTACAGCAATGCCCTAGAGGGCGACATACGAGGTTCACCGCCCAGACCCTCCCAAGTACGTTGACTACGAGCGTTGACAGACGAATGATCTTGTCTGGCGTATGGACTGCCACACTCGATGAGAAAACTTTACGGTCTGAGTAGCTGTTCCGTCACAGATGACAAATGCCGTTGCGATTCTCAAGAGACCCTGTCTAGAAGTCATCTCATGGTGCTTGCATCTGCGTTTCGTTAAGAAATGTAATGGGGATTTAACTTAGGGGAGTAGACCCAGGCACATCGTGTTACTAAGAAGACAGCGCACTGGGGTTTCTAATTGAACGACTGGTACGAAAAAGCCGAGAAGCATATGATTTGGATTCCACCTTGAATATGGTCGCTGTGTAGTAAAGTACAATAGGTTCTCAACGGCAGGGGCAGTCCTTTCAACAGACAGCAAGAAACCATTGGTAGCTTCTTCTCCCAGTCAATCAACCAACCAACCGCAATCTGAACTTCACGGTCTGATTTACATCGCCTTCGAAATTATGAGCTGCTTGCTTTCGGAAGTCACATCTCACCATGAGGCATACATGGAAGCTGTTGATGCTATTTGCGATAGGCAGTGCTTTCTATGCCAAGTTTACGATTTAAAGAACGAGATTAATCTTGTCAAACGTACGCCAAGCGCTTCTTCCACGTTCACGTATTGAGCTCCATATGTGAACAGTGTCTCTCGGAAGTTGTTTTCTCAGTCGCTTGTAACATCACGTGCAAGATTCTAGAGGAATCATTGCCCTCGCATTGCTCCTTAGCTGCCAGATGCTGGATAGTCCGGAGACGAGTCGCTCATCGAGACCTTCCTGGCAGGGCGATGCGTAGTTTATCGGCCGGGAACGGGATTGAAAAACGATCCATTCCGCCGGAGCCGGCGTTTCCGTGGTCCGAGTGTGCCGCGGCGCAGCAAGCTTTGAGCCAGATCGGATGTGTAAATCTGCAAAGTTCCATCAGACCACTGCAACCTTATATCTTATTATGAGCCTGTGACGCCTCGGACGCCCACCAGGCGTTGGAACATGCGGGGTATAGCTGATGTACCGGAGAGAGACTTTGCGGATTCCGGATGTACGTTGAGGGGACAACGGCCAAGAACTCTCCATGTCGCCGGGATGGGACATGCTTGACGAAAAGCCAGCGAGCGTTTAGTGGACGAAATGCAGTGCTGAAAGCAACGAGAAAAAGGTTCAGCCGGGCGAACGTCTTGGCATCTCGGCTTCCTTGCGGTGGCTCAGCCCATTCGGATGCGCAGGATATTTGGATAAGTGCACTGAGCAGGGAGACTCTGACATTCTAGACTTTGAGCTGCAATCTTGGAGCAACCAACCTTTCGTAATGCGGCTATGCAAAGTAAACAGTAGGCTTTACTCTCAAGAAGCTCGTTGCAGCTGGCATAGCTCCCGGTTCTTACAACGCCTCGTGATTCTCGTACCCCCCCCCCCCCCCTCTCTTGGTCAAGTGAGCAGGCACTACTCACGGAATGCGCTCCGGCCGACAGCCCCGCGGGTCCGGGGACGGAAGCTTTGAAAGCCCCTCACCGGTCGCAGCTTCGCGGACCGAGGAGTTGTAGGTTTTGCTTGCTGTCTTTTTGAGGCCCATGTAATCGATGGAGTCTAAAGTGACAAAGGGATTGTACGGGCGTCAGCTGCGTTGACAAATTCTCAGCCAAAGTGGCTCGGCGGGGCGCAAACAGCCCAAAGGACTACAGAGGCGTAACGGGCTGGACACATGGCGTTGATGATCATGAGTGGCTTTGCGGGGTCAGCAGAGGACCAGGCCAAGGAGCCAAGTGTTGGTGATGGGGCTGTGGGCATGTGAAGATGAGAGGGCCCAGAGGAGAGTAAATGGGATGAAAGCTGAGATGCGATGAAATGCGGACAAATGAGTTGACAAGAGTTGCGTCTGGATGACGCACTGACTGAACGAGTGATGAGCTGTTTCTTGTTGTTCAAGAATTGGCAGACATGGCAGACGAGCTTCATCTGATCGACAAGGTCATCCCAAGAGTCTAGACCTCTTGGACGTCAAACCAAGCTTTGACCAGAGGATTCGATTTCGTCAGACTGTGTGGTCTTTGACTTTTGCTAGCAGTGCCGTCCGGTCATCTTTTAGACGGCGTCCGATGTGGCCGTCTCTGATGTGTCCACGGCGCCATGCAGAGCGCCACAGTGATCCCTCCTTGACCTATTTCAAGAGATGTGCGAGAGGATCTGACTACCGTAAGAAACAAGGTAATGTGTGTAATGCAAGGTAAGGTTAGGTTAGCTAACGACCGGTACTGCCGGTTTCCGTAGTAGTCTCTTTTACTTTCTAACCAGAAATCTCTCCTCAAGTTCCTTAGTCTCTTATTACGCATAACTACGTACTGCGTGCCCGTACACCCTCAAAAAAAGACTTCGGCCAAAGTCGCCCACTTCACCGAAAGTCGGGCGCCGATCAGTGAGTCCGGTGCGGAATCGGGCCCTGCACGGCAACCCTCTCTAGTGGCCCCATTCACGGGAATAGACGGGAACTTTGAGATGAGGCCCGCCAGCGGTAAATGAGGGAACGCGCAGGCGTCAACAGCCCTGTGGGCTTCGAGGGCTTCAAGCCTCAAGAAGGTTGGTTCATGGTTGTACCTTGACTTGACAATCAAGAACTCATGAAAATATGTAGGTAGGGTTAAAGGAGACACCACCAAAGACTCATCTGACATGTCTCGCACACCCAAAGCTCCCGCGTCCTTCCCGCACCGTCACCGTCATTTGATCCAAGGCACGCAAGTACCGAAGAGGGTTGGGTAGGGCGCATGTCTCAGTATCCAAGACACAGACTAGCAAACTGAACCCCTTCACCGCAGGTCATGAAGCCATTGAGAGTGTTGCCCTGGGCGAATCTGGGCCCTGGACGGGCGATAATGGCCTTATCGCTCCATATCAGCGTGGTATCGCATCATCCGGTCACACTGACTGGTCGCCAGGGAGAAACACACCCATCATCATGGCCCGTTGATAACCCACAACAAAACATTCAAAAGGTTTCAACGCTACCTTACGCCTCATGCGTGCCCGGGAAGAGAGAACACTTGACCGTAGCCACTATCAATGTCGTATCTTTCTCTCTCTCTTTCTGAGTTTCTTCGTCGCCCGGCAGATGGCCATCCCGCGGGCGTGGACGGATGCCACGGCCTTTCATCGCCTGACCACGCAGCCACGCTCGTCCACGTCGGCCAGCTGTTTTCATCCACTTAGAAACGCGAAGCTGACACCGCCATAACATCATGACATGACCAGGGGCGCGGGAAAGTTTCTTGCAGCGCCATGCGGCGGCATCCACATATCGAGATGCAAGGAGAGAGGGTCCTCTCTTCCATTCGCATGACACTCTTCCGCAAGGTAATAGGTAAGGTATTTGTCGGTACAGTAGTGTAACTCGGGCGTGCATGTTTTATTCGCACAGCACACACACTTTACGTATGTACACAACGATGTACACAAACAAGTACCTCATCGACGCGAAACTGAAAATTTGTTGACACATCGGAGAATTTCCATCATAATTTTTTTCTTGTCCCTCTCGTTTAATTGTTTCCAGGGACCAGTTCGACGTCACAAACGAAAACTCCTGCGTCGTAGCTCCAGTTCTTTTTCTCGCGTAGGGCCCCTTTTTGGTTACGTGGTTCGGCCCTTTTTTGCACATTCTTCCCGTTGAGGTCCCTTGAATCAGTGGTTCGTGTGAATCGATTCGCAGCTGGAGAAAGGCCTCGTCTCCAAAAGGCCCCAAAGTAGCCCCAAGAAGCAAGGACTTCAAGGAGAAGAGAAGAAAAAATTGCTTGGTTGGACCCATTTAATGCCCAGTTCCGGACACTGCCCGGGCCAGACGGAGCTCACAGCGCAACCCTCCCGGCCCCATCGTCATTACTCATTCTAGGTCGAATTACCTCAAAAGTACTACTTTCTACCGAGTGTTATACATACTTCGTACTAGTAACTACTCCTTAGTCTCAGAGATGTATGCGGCCATGGCTGGCTTTGTACCCTCAGCGCCCTGAGAGGTGTGCCACGAGTGTGCCCAGAGCCACACACACGCACACACACACACACACACACACACACACACACACACATGTACACCCATCCCAAGTTGCTGTGGCCTGAACGGCTGGTAGTAATGGCCATGGGCGTTGGCATGAGTAAGTAAGGATCGGCCTTGTTCCGTTGGGCGCTGCCGCGGGTCTGATCGCCATCGCTCTTCAGATTTTTAGAGCGCCTCGTCTCGAACGATCTGAGCCTTAGATTGGTGATCACTGCATAGGGTTCCGGCACCCGCGGCTTATATAGTGGGCTTGGGATCCCGTTCGAACTGCCCTCTCGTCATATTCGTCAGATCCCATTTCCTGGCACGGCACTTGGCTCTTCGTCTGAACGGTTCCCCTATATTTACATCGGGCACCCATCGACACCTCACGTCAACAATAAGCACAGACACTTACAGCAACACACCTCTAAAGAGTACAAATACCAACACGACGGCACCCAGCACACAGACGGGCTACTACCACATACCACCTTGATCTTAAACTCTCAACAACAAAACATTCAGCTCTTACACACGCAAGGATCACATAACCTCACACCATCCCAACATGTTCGGCCGTCAGTCACAAACTCAGTTTCCCAAGCGAAGCAGCTCAGGCTACTCTTGGCCCGAGAGCGACAGCGAAGACGACATCGTCATCAGGCCCTGCGCCACAAACGAGAAGGCCGATGCCACAGTCACCATGACCGAGTGCATTCCGGGCCCGACGGCGGTGGACCAGACCTCTCAGCCCAGACCTTCCCTCAGTGGCCGCCGCGCCTCCGCCGAGGACACCAACCTGCAAGAGCTTTGGGAATGCATGCTCGAGCTCCAGCAACAATATCACTGCTACAACTCGACGCGTATGGAGATTGCTGCCGACAGGGAGGATGCTATGGACATGATGCGTATGTTGACACACCCACTTTTTGCCCCTTGTAAGAGCCTTTCGCTAACACCTTGTTCAGCCACCAAGTACTGCATGGACATGCTCAACGACTCCATCGAGTCCCTTCCCGAAGAGGGCTGGAAGAAACTCAGCAAGTTTCTCATCACCGACCTCGAGCACGCCCAAAAATCGCAAAAGTGGAAGTTCTGGAAGCACCTCTAGATTTGTGCATATGGACCGCCCAACTCTTGCATTCATCCTTTCTTTCAGCGAAGCGAAGGGCTCTCGGCTCTGATTAGAATGATACCCCCCTTTTATTTTTCTCATAACAAAAGTTTCGGTTTAGGGTTAGGCGTCTCATCGGATATCCCCTGGTTCAACTATTCACACTTTGGTTTGGTGGTTCTGAAGGCATTGGCGGATTTCTGTTCAAATATTTAATCCATCACGCAAATTATATTTGACACACTTTGCCTCTTCTGTCTCTATGTCTTTCTCAGAGTGAATTCTACACTTTCACTCACACGATTTCGTCATATCGTACGAGACGACATCTCATGGAATGCTCGGTGCGGGGTGTTGGAGATCTCGGCAGAAGCTCACGGCCGCCGGCTCCGATTCCGGATCGTGAATGCCGATCGTTCGTTGGCGTGCTCACCAGTGTGACACGACATGCATGTGCCATTACATCGCGGGGAAAACGTCAGGTAGGCCGGTGAGTCAGAGCGTTTTGACATGTCGACTCAAATGCCACGCTAGCTGCGAGCTTACACGTACTTGTCAAGTAGACAGGAGGTATTTCATCACGATGTTGAAAGTGCAGTGACGTAGATTGTTTAATGGGGGGAACCGTGGTATCCGCAGCATGTCTCGATTCTCGAGTCAAATTGCGGAATTAACCTTCAATAGCGCAGAGCATCATTCATGAAGATCGTCGTAGGAATTCATCTCATTGGGCTAAACTCTCATTACAAGGTCATACAAAGAAAGCGGAAACCAAAACAATAATCAAGCTACACGGCCGGGGCAACTTCGACAGGTCCCTGCGGAAGCCGGGCGGCGGCAATGTTGCACTGCCGGAACAACCGCACCTCATCTTCCGCAAAGGCGCCCACTACGGAGTGGATCACGCCGCGGTTGTGGAAAATGACAAAGTCGCCCTGCTCCCAGTCGTGAGCGTACACATTCTTGGGCGAGATGCCCGGCCGCTGCAGGCGGTGCACCGTCTCCCGCACCTCGGCGAGGTCCTCCACCACGGTGCCGTCCGCCAAGTGCAGCTTCCGCACCGCCGAGGGGTGAACCTGCAACGCCAGCCGGTCCGTGACGGGGTTCCGCCAGCACATGGGCAGGATCTGAATCTTTTGCTCCTCGATGGGGGGCAGGTCGTCGAGCGGGACCTCCTTGCCCTCCGAGACCATGCCCAGGCCGGTGGAGCGGGACTTGGCGCTGCTCATCCACACGTAGGGGTGCGGTGCGTACTCCACCTTTGTCGTGCGGACGAACTCCTGGTCTTCGGGCGAGAGGTTGTCGTACATTGCGTAACCGGACACGAAGGCTGTGGTACCGAGAGGGACCGTCATCTCTTCGTCGGTACCGTCGTCGTAGCGGAGGGTTTGCTTGCGGCCACCGGGCACACGGACTGCCAGGAGAGTCGTGGCGACGGGCGGTGCGAGACCGTAGAGCGCAGCATCGATGTGCCAGCGGTAGAAACGTGTAAAGTCCAGGTCATCCTCATCAGGGATTGTTGTGGCGTGGAATGTGCGGTGGTGAGGGTGTCTGAGCTGGATGTTCTTCAGACCCTCGTACTCCTCGACGAAGCCATTGCCAATGACTTGGACTTGAGGCTGGTGCGGGATGGTCTTCAGATCGGGATGCAGAATGGAGCGCTTGGCGTCCAGCGTCTTGCCGTGGCCATAGTTCTCACCAGAGTCAGGGTCGAACTTTTGTGTAATCTCGAATTGTGCCTTGGGAGATGCATGTCCCTGGTTCTTGATTATGAGCACCTGGTGCTTGAAGAGAGCTTCACAGATGACATCAAAGTCGGCATCTGCAAGTCGTCAGCCCCTGGTCTGAATATGTGAGTCTTGTTACTTGAAGCTTACCAGAGGAGGTTACCGATTTCACGGGTATTCTCCCACTACTTGTACAGCATCGTCACTTTCAATGAATCATGCTTGCGTCATATCTTACCAGTGAGATTCTCAATGTCAGCGTTGCTTATAGTCGCGCCAAAATCAACAGCCGAGCCCACAGCAGGGACAATTGGCTGGACGGTTATGCGAGAAGGAGTCTGTGAGATGGCCATTTTCAAGCTGAAGTTCAGAACAATGTTGGCTCTTAATTAGGTAGTGCGTTGATCTTGTTTCGAATGGCAGCTGTCTTCCAACATCTCAAATGAATATATAAAGCAGTCTGGGGGCCCTGAAGAGGCTTTTATGTCTTGTGAAAGACACTGTGGTGGAGTCGTGAACTCGGATCCCGCCGATGACCTGCGGGTGAGTTCGTTATCTCACCCGCACCGGCCCGCCCGCACTCGAGAACCTAGATGTAGAGATGGTGGGGTTTCTCGATAAGGCTGTGGCGTAGAACACCGAGTTGCGCATTTCCGATTTGTATTTTGCTGGTATCATTGGATGATTACTCTCGATATCTTTCGACTCGTTGAAGATTCTGAATTTGGACATTGTGCATCCTATCAAGCAGTGCCGTAAGCCTGTTGTTGACAGTAATCTGACATCTGGCTGCTTGTGTACCCAACTAGTAAGGTACACGACTCCAACCTTGAACCAACATCGGCTCGACGCCCCAACGCCGAACCGCGAGTCACCCCGCCACCCCTCCATCCCATCCCTCTATCGCATCTCTCCATCTCTCCCGCCCGCGACTCGGCCTCGGGGCGCAGAATCCCGCGAATTTCTGATAGTTCTGCCCGAAATGTTGCAGATTCTCGTGTGGTAGCCCCTCAGTGCGCACTGGTGCCTTCCATCTCTTCGAAGCCCGCTGCTGGCCTGGCTGCGTCGGTCTCCGCCCTTGCGCCGACCGAAGCGGACCATGTCGTCGGAGGGAAGCGGCAGGAGAGTGTTCTCAATGCTCCGGCGCGTCGTCTCTGCCAGAGGCTGACTGCAGATCTGGAGACTAGGCATCCGTGGCAGTGAATACTCGTAGCCGTCTTCAGTTGTTGGCACACGAAAGCAAGCCAGGACGTGACCGTAGTGCTATCGTTGTGTCTGAAAGATGAGTTGATAGCGCTGTTGGCTCCTCAGTGCTTCTTGACCTTGTCCATCCATTCCTTGGAAGCCTTTGTGCCGTCGTGAGCTTTTCGGAATAGTCCTCGCTCCCACTCATCCAGACCGCGGAGGAAGTCCTCGCCGGAGCCTCCAACACCATCATCACCTCCTTTTCGGGCGTGCAATGCGATCTCTGACGCGCGCGCTATGAACGTCTTTCGCATGGTATCGCTAAGGTCGCGCTCGTCGAAGAGATCTAGGATGCGAGTGCCGAGGCCGTAGAAGTGAGCGCTCTGGTCTCTAACTGGCACCGAGCGCGCATCGGCCTTGAGTGCTTGAACGACTTGGTTCGAGAGTGAGGGAGGCAGGTTCAAGGTGACGGGCGCCTTGGAGTCGTCGCCGGTGCCCGCATTGGCAAGGGCGAGCATCTCGGCGAGCCAGAGAGGGAGGCTGACATTGGTTCCTGCCTTCAGAGCATGCGAAGGGTTATTGTCGAGATATCCGAGGTCGGCGACATCGAGTTCGAATTTGCAGGGGACTTTCTAGGCAGTTGTTAGCTTTTGGCATCGATTGTACCGAGTGTGGAGGTAATGCTGCGAGTAGAGGGGCATAGTTTGGGATATCACTACATACTTCGGCATCAGTGAGAATGGAATCAATGTCGTAGTAAGACATGTTGGTTTCTTTGACGAGAGACTCGCTTCGTTTGACTGCTTGTTGACAACTGAATACTAGACCAAACCTGGGAGGGTGTTTGCTGGTGAAGCTTGACGCGTCTGACGGTGCATTAGACGCGATTCTTGCTGCCCAGCCACACATCACCCCGCCATGTCTGTTGGCCAAGCCACATCCCTTGGGTGAAGCTGTGGCTGTGGGTGTCTTAGTAAGGTGAAGCAGAGGAGCACCCAATGAGACGTGAGGGATTACCTAAGAGTGTTCCAAGAGCTCCAAGGAAACTAGAGGTGATAGCTCTCCACCTTTAGTGGATGACGACATTTGTCCACGTCTCTCATTCGCTGAAAGCTTGATTAGGTGATTCAGTAGGTACCTAATTTCTGCGTACACTAAAGCAGTGGACGGGGAGCCGCTGGAGGAAAACGGGGAGAAGCGCAAAAGCGCTGAAGAGCGAGCCCGGCAAGCAACAGCTCGGTAGCCGTAGCGCGGAGGCAGCTTTTCTGGAGATCCGAGCTCCCTCACGTAATAGCCGACCGAACCTCCCGCAATTGACATCATTCTGAGATTTGCACCTGCATTTGTCAACCTGCCAATTCAACCTCAAAAGGTACTTTGACGCCCTTACTGCCTCGTTCTTTTGCTCTCTAGCATCTTACAATCTTGAATCAAAGCCATTGACACTAATCAAAAGACATAGAATACGCAAAATGTCGTCCACCCTCCTCCGTACTGCGCCTGTCCTCCGCACAGCTCTGCGAGCTGGTGCCGCTAAGCCTGCTGCTGCTGCTTTGGCCAGCACCAGCTTCGTTCGCGGCAAGGCTACTCTACCAGACATCTCTTGTAGGTAACGCCGTTATTTGGATCGTATTCGTAGTGAGGATCCAGATGCGCTAATGCCTCGTCCTACACAGACGACTACGGCGCCCTTGAGCCCTACATCTCGGCACAGATCATGGAGCTTCACCACTCCAAGCACCACCAGACCTACGTCAACGGCCTCAACACTGCTCTCGAGACCGTCGAGGATGCCAACGCCAAGGGCGACTATGCCAAGGCTGCTGCTCAAGCTCCCTTGATCAACTTCCACGGCGGTGGCCACGTCAACCACTCTCTCTTCTGGGAGAACCTCGCCCCTGCCAGCAGAGATGGCGGTGGTGAGCCCGACGGCAAATTGGCTGTACGCTATCTCTACGAAATAAGCCCACATTCTACTATATGAGAAGATACTGACACATTCCACAGCAAGCCATCAAGGAGGACTTTGGCTCCTTCGACACCCTGCGCAAGCAGATCAACACCTCCCTGGCCGGAATCCAGGGCAGCGGTTGGGCCTGGCTGGTCAAGGACAAGACCAGCGGCACCCTTGGCGTCGTCACTCGCGCGAACCAGGACCCTGTCACCGGCAACCTCGAGCCTCTTCTTGGTATCGATGCTTGGGAGCACGCCTACTACCTGCAGTACCAGAACCGCAAGGCCGAATACTTTGACGCCATCTGGAACGTTGTCAACTGGAAGACTGTGGCCAAGCGCTTCGAGAAATAAGCAAACAAAGGACACATGTACGATATGCAACTGTTGATACCTAGCAAGAATTTACCGTGTTCGATCAGTGCCGGCCTGTTGGACGACAACGTGCCAGGCTGTGACAGACAACTCAATTTCATACATTGGACCTTCTTAGTCCACATTAACACGTTTTGCAGCTATGGTACTAATGACAATACTGCGACCTTGACCGACAGAAACAAGTTCCAAACTCCTCGCTCTATTCAACAATGTTTCGACGCCATCTCATGGTATTGGGAGGAACCCCATATCCGCCCACTTGCTGCCATCAAAGTGGACGTGCTTCAGCTGCCGGCTCGCTTGGAAGAAGCAGTGACTGAGGTCATGCGATGCCTCGAGAGGCACCTCCGGAATCTTTGCCGACGCAGCTGTCACACAGGCGATGTGTGTTGGATTGTCAGCACCATCGAAGACGGAATCTGACTCTGGCCCTTTCCACCCTGTCGTATCGTCCTCGTACACATAGGATATCTTGCCAGTCTTGGAGTCCTGGTACAGGATCCATGTGTTGAGGGCCTCTGATTTTTGGCCGCTAGAATCAAGCCGAGCTACCGCGAAGCCAGCCATGGTAAAGTTCGAGTCGACAGTCACCGGTAGCTGACCCGTCGAGGTGAGCTGTTGGCCACCAGATGATCGATCATAGTTTTGCAAATGGCCGTCGGTGCTACGGTATATGATACGTGCGCTTGATGCAGATGTCAGGTCTCCGGCTGAGTGGATCACTTCTCGAGGAAGAATGACCAGTGCCGAGCCCGGAGACGCCGTGAACCCGACTATCTTGGGCTCCTGGAACCTGGGCGACTTGTAATCGAAAAACACCTCCATTATGTCTCCGTTGCTCGCCTGTACAATGGTGGACGGCCAGTACGATGCCATCTGTGTTCCCGTGTTGCTGATGGTGTAACCTGCCTCGTTGACGCTGTCTGTCAGGCCCCCTCTCGAGAAACCTTCACGCCAATTGACGCCAAGGATCTTGTCTGGCGACCCAACATAGAAGACTTCGGACTGCGGGATAACAGGCAAGGGCTTCACGAGACGTCTTTAGTGAAAGGTCCACCGACGAGAAAAGTGCGAATACGAACCTCATCGGGCTTGGTCCACAGCTGACCGGCGCCGAAAGGAGAGCCCACTTTGGGGGCTGCGCCAGCTTCCATCGGGGGAGTCCAGGCTTGATAGATGGTCATGTATTGGGACCGTCTCAATGAACCGTCCGCGCCTTGGAAGAAGACTTGCAGGGTAATATCGGAACCGTACCGCCATCCGACAGCAGATACAGCCGAGTTCTGCATGATCTTAGTAGCGCTCGTCGATGGCGCATCGCCATTTACTGATCCCGGACCACCCGTCTGTGATTGCGCGCTTCGGTTCGCCGTCACCCTCCATGCGGCCACGCCGCCGATGACACCTCCAAGAATCAAAACGACTAGAGCCACCGTGATTGCGATACACCATGGGAATCGCCGACCCGTCCGCTGATCCTCCTGTCCTTCAATATGGCCTTCAGGGGCTTGCGAAGAGTAGCCATTGTCCAAGGTCTTGTGTTCACTATAGCCCGAGCCGTTTTGTGAGGGAGACTGCCAGTGACTTGCTCCGTTGGCGATGGCTATAGGAGTGTTGTCGTAGTGTGTGCTTACTTCAAGCCCTGGTTGAACAGACCCGGCTGGACGATCCATGGTGAACAGCTTGTGAGGGAAGATGTTCCTTTGTTCTAGCTCAGAACGGGCGTAGGGAAGCACGAGATTTCAAAAACACCAAAGTTCCAAGAGTTCAAGAGAACGAGCGGGAGTTCGTCGTGGGTCTCTTGCAGTATGTATATCCGGGCTCACATCCGACTCCACGCTAAGGCAAGGCCTTTGCTCACTTTGCTTCGTCTTGTTTCAATACTTTCCAAATCTACGGGAGACCATACAAGGTTCTAAACTCTCGTATCCTTCTAACCCACTCTGAAGGCTACCTACTTTGCAGGACCGAATCGGCCCCCAGGTTCGACACCAGAACATTCGAGCCAATATCTGCAACTGTGCCTTCTCGCCCGCAGGAGGAGCAATGCTAGGTAACAGCCGACATCGAGACGCCCCCTGCTCCATTGATGTCCAAGGTTGCCTCGTCAGAGTTTTCCCCGTTCAATGATAGGGGCTCCATTGGCGCGTAGGATTCTCAAGATTCACCTCAGACTGGAAAAGAGACATGAACCTGGCAGTCATCAGGCTATACACGCTCTACGAGACTGGGAAGACGTCGGCGCCAAGGAGGCGGCACAGCAGGGTCTCTAATTGCGGCCTCTGGTATCCTGCATCTAATAGGGCTGGGCTGACTGAAGTGACGGCTTTTAACGCAGAACTTCATGCACTGCCAGAGGTCGGTTACACTGGAAATACCAAAGTCCCTTTCCAGCGTGCCATCGCTTTGCTGGTCTTGATGAAGGACAGCCTGGACGGGGAATTGAAAGCGCCAGACCGGGGCCCTGGCTAATTCGCTGACAGGCAACGAGCTGACAACACTAAATTAACCTTGTTTGTGATTGAGAACGAGTCTGAGACTGGACGATGATTCGTGGGGTCGCTTTTGGGGGTTAATTCTCCAGTCCCACGGACGATTGAGGCCAATTACTGCACCTTGAATCCCAGACACCAGTTTCTCGGGATTGCGCTTTTTGTCAAGCAATCTGGCCTTGTACAACATTAGAAAAAGCTTCAACTGACTTCATCATTGACCGCTTTGATTGCTGGGCGGCGAAAACTCGCGGTTCAGTTGTCCCTCCGTCAAGAAAATGGTCCAAATGCACGAGGGCCGTCCGTATCTTGGGTTGATCGGCAAAGGATTGGCCCAAAAGACTTTTGGTACGCACCAGATTGCTCCTCACGTGTACGTATTAGGCAGAACCAGATGGTTCGCGAGTCCGCCACGTTTAGGCTTCATCAGGATATACAAGAACGGAAAAGGGTGCTTTAAATAATCGAATCTCGGTATTTAAACATCAAGATAACATATCGCTCATACATGGTCCCATCCAGCTCGTTTCACTTGTCTGTATTCCATCGTGAGAAGTAATCTTACCTTCAACATGCCCCTCTGCGACCTCTGCAGATCCATCGCATGGGGAGATCTCCCGCCCTTCCCGAATGAAAACTTCATGAAGACGTTGAGCGGCTACCCGCGATTTCATCACTTAGTGTTGAAGAGCCAGTTGGTTGAGAAAGATACACCCATCAAAAGATTCGGCGTCCAGTACCATGCCAGCCTGCAGAGTCTCCGCCAAGCGGCCTCTGGCGGTTGCGAGCTGTGTCAGGTCATCGAGACAGAAGCCGATGCACTAATAGAGGAGATCGCAGGCCTTCCCCAGCCAAGACGTGGTCTGATGCAGACCGAGCCCAGCTGGGACATGTGGCTGACGAAGCGATCGGAGCCTGAAGTCTCCGGTGATGGGTTCTGGGTTGTGAATAGAAGCTCTTGGGGGAGTGACAAGTGGCTCGTCCCGATTGCATCCATTGGCTTCAGTTCTGATGAAGGTGAGTTTTTCTCTACTGCCTGCTCAACGTGAACTTCTTGATATAAATACTCATTTGTGACTTAGATGATCCTCGCACCACCGGGTCTTCTGATCGCGTGTTGAGAGAAGTTCCGGACGAGACGACACTCCGCCAAGCTGTTGACTGGCTTGAGAAATGCAACGAACATGAGTATTGTAGTACTCGCGGGACATCACCTCTACCAAGTCGTGTGCTTGACATTGGAACACTGGAGTCCGGTCCCGTCATAAAACTCATCGAGCCAGACGCTGATCTCCACGATCGGTACATTACTCTAAGCTACTGCTGGGGTCAAGGATCGAAGCAATTCACTACAACAAACGAAACTATGCAAGCACGAAAGGAGGGTTTCCTACTGGAATCCTTACCACAAACCCTTCAGGATGCAGTCTTCATTACTAGAAAATTCGGGGTCCAGTACCTCTGGATCGACTGTCTCTGCATCTGCCAGGATGATCTCAAAGACTGGGAGCGAGAGTCGGGGCAAATGGCCACAGTTTACTCTAATTCCTACCTAACTCTTGCGGCCACAAAATCTTCTGACATTAACGGAGGTCTCCTCTCGTCTCGAAAGAAAAGGACATACTTGAAGCTTCCTCGGGCAAGTTCCATTAACGAAGACACATTCATGCTCGCGTCTGCCCTACCTCTCCACAAAGAAATCATCCACGACTACCACTTGCAAATGAGGGGGGAGCCCCTGACAAGAAGGGCTTGGGGCTTCCAAGAACGTGTTCTTGCCCGAAGAATACTACACTTTGGAAGCGAACAAATGTACTGGGAATGTCTCGAGGGTTTCCAGGCCGAAGAAGGTCTCAAACTCCCACACCGACTACCCTGCGTCAATCCCGACCCAGAAGTAATCGCCCGTGTAGAAAAGCGCGCCGGGGAGCAGGCAGAGCTATACAAAGACTTCAACCGCTCTACAACCTCTCTCAAGGCTTGGTCCCATCTCTTGTGCGAGTACGGACCTAGAGAGTTAACGAATCCTGCCGATAAACTGCCAGCATTCTCCGGCGTGGCGAAAACCTTCAGCATGATACTCAACGACGAGTATCTAGCAGGATTGTGGCGAGGCTCCTTGATCGAGGGGTTGTGTTGGCAGCCACTAAGCTGTAAGCCTGCTTCGGGAGGCTATCGCGCTCCGTCGTGGTCCTGGGCCTCTGTCGATGGTACTCCTGCGACGGGATTTTTGGGTGAGAGTATACCTCATGCCGAAATCATTGAGGCAAAGGTCGAAATTGATGGCGAAAATCCATTTGGTCGTGTCAAAGACGGCTGGATAAAGCTCGAGGCTCCGCTTGTTAAGATGGTCGTGTCCGAAAACAAGGGCCCGACAGGACACATCCTCCTGAGGACCGAGAAGGGCGCGACTGACTTCTACGCAATTCTGGATACGATCGACCGGGACTACGCTGCTAGCGGAAGTCTCCTCAGGTCAATGGATCTGAGTGCTGTCGTTCTGGCTTTCACCTATGGCACTCCTTTCAAAGCCGATCCGGAGCGGAAGGATCCCTGTGCTCAAGCGCTACTTGTGGTCCCTTCGGGAGATCAATCGGGTTGTATGAGGAGAATTGGGATGCTCGTCCAGGACGGAGCAGCCTTTGGTGCAGATCTACTGGCTTCCACAAAGTCCGTTGTCACCTTGGTATGATATGCTTGAGGGAAGTGAGGAGACAACTGAAGTGCAGGGTATCATCAATATATTTCAGCTTGTACGCCATGCTGTGCTGCGCCATCGTTTCGCCCGCGGGGCAAACGTGAGGTACCTTAGTTTAGGTAGGTTTCCACATGCTGAGATCCTGTTATGGAGATGTTAAGAAGTGCGCCTTGGTCTCTGGTCTCGCCGGCATTGAGTGCCACACGCTGATCTCCACCGTTTTGTTGATCCCTCCCAGCGATATCGGTTCAATGCCGTCGAGCCCGATGTTGGATCTTGACGAGCCAGCGCTGATTATGTCCTCCTGAGAGCTTGTCCGCCTGCCACCGCGAACCTCGACCAGTCTCTCACTGTGTTGCGTAGCAGCATACCAATCATTCTGTTTCTGATACGATGCAAACCCTCGAAGTGGCGGTCGACTTGGCTGCGTAGGGTGATAGACCTGTGTCGTGAAGACGAGTTTAGATGCCAGGATGTCAATGCTATTCGGGTAATATTAGTTAGCAACTCTATGCAGTATGTGGGCACGAGTATCGGGTTATTACTCACAACATGACTACGGGAAATAGGCACTCAAGTGTGTATGCGAAGCGGTCAATCTGACTTGCCGCGTTCGTAGCACTCTGTGCAGCAATCTGAAAAGAATATGTGACGGCTCGCATTGTTCCAACCAAAGCCAGCGTCGCCAGCCGGACTTCAGTGCTTCGCATTAGGTATTTGAACAGGCCTCCCTTCAAAGCTGCTCTCAAGGACGTCGACTTGACCTCAGCGAACGTCTTGAGCAAGAAGAATGAGCTGATACACTCGAGCGAAGCTATGAGAACAAAGTAACCGATGTGTAGGTTGTTGACGGTGCTCTGCAGGTTCGTGTTGCCTCTTAAGATGAATCTGGCGCGCGAGACGGCGATCATGATGCGTATTGATATGATTGAGAGAACCATGATCCAGAACAAGCTGTTGAAGATCTGCCAGCCCAAGTCCTTCAAAATTCTTCGGAGGAGAACGTAACTGTAGAAGGATAATCCGACTTCCTGAATCTGTATGCAAGGTTAACACAAAATACGTGGAATGCCCTTGATTTCCATCCTCACCATCCAGAATATATCACCAAACACCGACGCGGCAGCTTTGCTCTTGAGGGAATACGTCTCATCGTAGAATGCATAGTAGCAAAGCCCGTTTGCGATAGCGCCAGCAGCTGATGATATGATCGGCACTGCATTTATTTGGGAGAAGGTTGTGATTCCAACAATGAGGAAGCCAAGAATCACGTTGGCGGCACCGATGGTACTCAGAATCGACCAGCTTAGCTCGAAACATACTGGAAGGAGCGGCGTCGACATATTGGCGCCACTTGAGCAACTAGACGTTTACTCAACTGTCGCATGGTGGTTGGATGTGAGAGTTGGCTTGAGCATTTTCTGTCGCGAACGCTTTACGAACAGTCTGGCGCTTAACACTCTCTGTTTGGCAAACATAGTAGCATCGACCGGCGTTCAACTCACAGGGCGGCTCAGTACTTTTCGGCGGCAGGGTGTCAGAAACATGTAGTCTGGAACTCTGCTTTGCGAATCGCTCGGCACAATACGAATCGTTTCGCAATCCGGCAGCTTTTGGTGATGTTAAGAGCGTTCGAGACGTGTCTGTCATGGTCGGCCCTTGTCGCAAACCAATGTGGCCGAAGTCTTTTTGAGAAGCCTAAGGATGATGGGCTTGGCCTCTGCTTCAATCCTCAGAGTTTCCAGGGTTCAACATCGGAAATATGCACAGAGAGTGCACCTATTTCCAATACGGTTCTTCGTAAACACGGGACAATATCCTGTGCTTCAAACCGTCGGAAGAAGGCTGCTCAATTCTCGACCTACACCGGCGGCAGTGACTACCTATTGTGTGCCTCTTATCCACTTCAGTGATGAAGCTGGTATTCATTTCTACTTTTGCTGACTTTGAAGAGTTGCGGAAGTTGTCGTGGCACAGCGGCTGCGACCCGATGAACCGGTGACTGCGACTGGCTGCGGGTTACCCGACCAGAGTCAAGTTTTAAAGTTCGAAGTACAACACCTCGGACTCCCCAGAAAGCTTAGAGCACCTCATTACCATGTTCAAACCCCGCTTCTCTCCAAAATGCTTACGGATGGAGTCTGAAGGGAGGGAAGCACCCTGTCCGACGATCAGCGACTACTGCACGTGTTTACTCCGTTCGCTGGGCCTAAGGCCAACTTCGAGAGATAGGAAGATGTTGGTGGCGATTTTAAATCCTGCCAGGATTCCATCAAGAGCACTGCGGCACGATACAGAGGGGTCGCAGCAGAGGGAGTCGAGACGGGCGAGACAGTGATGATAGGGGGATGCCAAGAAGACGACGGGCTTGAGGCCGATAATTTCACGTCAGGGACACTCGGAAATGACTCTGATGACCATACCAGACTTCTTACAGGCCAGCGGGTCCTAGCAGCTCCAGAGCTGACTATCATATTGCGATTTTATATGTACAAAACACAACTTGGACCTTCTTCAACAATGTATACACACCTGTGCACACGAACATGACCTACAAATTGGCCAAGTAACGTTAGGAGGCGACACTGCTATGGGAACTTATGAATGTCAGCAACGATTAAACGGATGAATAAGAATGACAGCGCGTCTTCGCGTAGCATGTGATTAGGAGCCTGAGTCGTGAAGATACAGAAAGTATATTGACACGGCACGGTGACTTTGTCGCTGGCCATCGAGATGAAACTGAAGTTTGCGCCTTACAACAGCCTCCAAGAATGGTCAATGCTAGCTACGGCAACCACTACTAACTCACAGTATCACGATCTTCTTCAAGATGGCGATACGTCGTATCAACCAGTCAGAATGAAGGCGCTACTGGACATGAGCAAACGTTATGACAGCAGCTAGATCAAAGCTTACCGGGCCTTTCCACAATGGCTGTTCCTACTCGCTAGGGAAGACTCTCAATTCAACTCAGCAGGTAGACAGACACCAGGATTTTGATTTCGTTTTCATCATTGTTTCTCCGACAACGACAATAGAGATATGTAATCCTGCCAAAGTAGCTTCCTGGGCGTCAAGCACATGTACCCGTAATAGCCTACCAGGCTGAGTTACGTAGGGTATCCTATTCTCATCCTGCTCTCGAGTGACGGCCTGAGCAAACAGCCTTTTTTCCTACCTTGTCCCGAACACCTTTCTCACGTAATTTCACCAGTCCCTCATACGTACTGACCGCAACTTCCTCCATCCAAAACTATGCCTCGCGCAATGGGCGGTGATGTCAAGACTGGAGAAGCTCTTAGCTATATTCTGAGCCCATCGAGGGGATTGCTCGTTCCGTATCCGCGTCGAACATCTTCCAGTCGACGTAAGGTTCTCCTTCATTCGTACCATTTGGACATGGCTGGATATTTGTTTGCATCCCTCCGCTGGATGCCGATGCCGAAGCGCCCCCAGCCATGCTCGACGATACCAAGTTTTGCGCCGCGCCGGAAATGTACTCCTCGATAAAGGAGCACCCACAGCTACCGTGTTGGAGCACCATGGTCTTCAACATGAGTATTTCGCCTCGGAGCAACGCAGCCTCGTCGTTGAGGTTCTTGTTGATGTTTTCGGCCATCGCCTCTTGGGTTTGTAGCTCCTCGACTCCCTTTTGCTTCTTCTTTCTGCACTTGTAAGCTGCCTCCCGGTTCCGTGCGCGGACCTTGTTCTTCTTGGCTTCGGCGCCGCTGCGTGTGTCCCCTGTGTCGATGGCGCCGCTCATTGATGTGTTTGAGGCCCGTCGGGTGCTGCCTTTCTGCCGTGCTTCTGCGCCTGTCTTTGATGCAATAACATCTGGTCCATCGTCCTCAGAAATCCTTGGCCGCCCCCTGCGTCGCTTTGGAGATTCTATCGCCTCGATTGGTAAAGATGGTTTCGTTTCGCTTGTAGAATCAAGAATCAGAGGATCAATCGGTGGGAGTTTCGGTGAATTTGTGCTGTTGTGCGACGAGACGACGGAGCTTATTGGTGACGCTAATCCTTCTGCCTGATTGCTGGCAGGAGAATTTTGCCACGGTTGGGACCCTTGGCCTTGTGTTGAGGCTGAAGACTGACGGTCTACTTCAAAAGGAGGATTCGCGGCTGGAACCCGGGGCGAAGCGAGACTCGCTTGTAGGTCATTGCTGTCAAATGTCTGTTGTGAAAGTTGTTGCTGGTGTTGCTGCTGTGTTTGTGATTGCTCAAAGGTACTTATGACCTGGTCTGCATCTTGAAGTTGGGATACAGTCTGAAATAAAGGAATATTTTTATGGATAACCCACTTTGTTGAGGCAGGCTTACACTACTGCCAGGAAATACCATCTCGAGCTCTCTTTTCGCTGCGATGCGACTATTGCAGAGGACGGCGGGGGGGGAACAGGGTTGTCTTGACTGGCTAGGCTAGCCTTGGCTGGAGACGAAAGCTTAAGCGAGCAATGGTGGTATTAAAAAGGTAATCCTTGGTGTTACCAATCGAATGAGCGTAGTAGATGTGCAATAAGCCTTTGGAGGTCATTTGGCGACGAAGAATAAGGGTTTTGAGACAGTTGAAAGTGGCTGGAAACGAGAAACATACACACACGTCCCGCGTCAAGGGGTTCGTGACGAGGTCCTACGATCCTTTTAAAGAAACGCAGCACAAATCCGCGGAGGACGAGGCGGGGGGCAAGAGTCTGTGGTCTTGTCCCTGGGCCCGATTAGGACAAGCACCTCATGGCACGGCTGCACCAAGGCAAGACATGGCAGGCCAAGAAGAGGGATCCTGTACTGTGGAACCAGTGCTAGTAACAAGATCGGCGCATCACATTTCGGTTGAGCAATGCTTCTTGAGAAGCTCGTGGACTAATTAGCGGGGTGGCTTCGGCCGAGCTCGACAAAGGTCGAAGAGGGGCCTTGACTTCCGTGAGCCTTTACTCTCGAGGCCTTGCTGTCACACAACAGCTGCCGAGGTGTGGGATGCCAAAAGTGTTTGC